GTTCTCTATCTTAGCGACAATTATGACCTCAATTTTTAACACAAATTGAGGACTCGAATCATAAAACTAATAATGCGATGTGTGGGTGTAAGAGTTAATTTAAAATAAATTCATGTTATCATACTAAAATTTATCAAATTTAACTATCGACAATTAAATTAAGAATCTGACTATAAAAAGAATTGAACAAAATATTAATTAAAATAATTAAACATTAATGAAAATAAAGCGAACAATCGGGGAAAAGAACCTTTTAGGAAGAATATTTCCCAAAAAAGAAAGGCAAAACTTTTCACCGAAAAAATTATAATATTAAAAATAGTTAACCTACAATAAAAAATCATGCTTAACCAACTTTTCCATTTGACAATGACACGACATTCAAGAACATTTCAAGTTAAAGCAAAGCATGTGGAATTATACTCAAATTCTTTCTTATTTTGATAAAACGAATCAGAATTCTACAACTTTTGCCCCCCCCCCCTTTCTAGAAGTTGAAATCAGCAAGAAAACACACAGTGCAAATGTTATTCACACCCATAAAAATTATATATTAAACTACTTATGCTAATAAAATTAAAATATTTTATGTAAAAATATTTAATAAATTACTATAAGTGAAATAATAAGATTCTCTTATGAGAGTCTCTAGTACTTGATGTAGTTCAGCAAAAGGATATTTATATAAACCAAATATAATAAATACATTTATATTAAAGGGAAACAAAGAAAAAAAACATCCGTACCGTTAGAAATCATAAAATACAGTTTTGTTTAGCTTCTTCTTAATTTTTATTCCTTCTACAGAAAAAATAACCTTTTTTAATTTAAGGAGAGGTGCAGAATAATTTAATTAAAATTTTATTAAATACAAACCCATTTAAAAAGATTCTTGAAAATAACTAAGTGCATGGATGCACAATGATTGAATTATTTGTTCAAGTTTGAGAATTGGTTAAAAAATTAAAAGGATTTTGATTAAAATAAGTAAGGCTTAATGGGGGGGGGGGGAACACAAGCATCCCTCTATTTAAATACAAAGACAACTATACCTATACTATTATTTATTTGTATATTCTCTATTTTCTATTATTCTATTTTCAATTACAAGATAATGAAAATTAACTGTATTAAAAACAATAAGATTAGATTATAATTAAATTGGGCTTAACTCCAAGTTGAATTAATCATTTTATCAACAAAATTAACCATTTTAAACTTGCAGTTAATTCAATTGAATTAGTTAAATTTTCCATTTAAATTTTAAACTGTTTATATCCCAATTAAAATATCATGGTTTATTATTTTTTTCAGAACTTTTTAAACTTTGAATTTAAGTTGTATACACTGAATTCTGTTTATGTCTAAGTTAGTTTCCACAATAATTCATTTTTAATCCGAATGATTAAAAGATATTTTATGACTTATAAAAGTTGATTAATCGAACTTTAATTAAATCATTGTGTCGATACTAATTCGGATTTCCTTTGAGTTTAGACTTTCATTTGAATTTGAGTTTTTTAAATTTGGACTGTCCGTTATATATAATAATAATAATATATTTCATAAATATTTTAAAATACAAAATCTATTAGCACGTAACTCACTATAGTTTATCGGATAAGATTTTAAGCTAAACTTTCATACCAAATCATGACAAGTAATTATAAAGATATCAATTCCATAAAATTGTCAATATATTCATATATAATGAAACATCGAATTTTTATAACAAAATATATCAAATTTTACCTTAGTAAGCCTTATGTTATCTAATTGTTCGGTTTTAGATGAATCAAGCAATTATAAATAACCAATTAAAATTACACTCACTTGATATGAACTTACGATATTTCTCAGATTTGCGTATTATTTGATGATTTTGGAGGATTCAACCAATTTATTTGTTTATCAAAAATAAAAACACGTGCCATAAAAAAATTAAAATTAAAGATCATACTTAACGTGCATGTATAAACCTTAATCTTGAATTTAGGGTTTTACGATCCTTGCCAACCCTTGAGCCTTTGAATGAATAGTAATAAAATGACAGATAATTCCTTAGGGATTTTAGAACTAGTTTAGGGTTCCTCGATTAATTAATAAGTTTGGGTGAAATTAAGCTTTCCATGCTTGAATGAATGTTTGATATTCAACCATGGAGTCTAAAGAGAACTAAGTGTTTTCCGACCTAAAGTCCTATTTTTACTAATTTAAAATAATGTTATACAATATCAAATTCTTAATATTATGAAACAATGACACATAAATCTATAATCTTCATAATTTTTCATTGTATACATCATATGGTTTATTTCCCATGCAACACTTATCTTTTGTCTTCAATTTAATTTGATCCTTAAACTTTCAATTAACAATTTTGATTTTCAATTTGATCCTGAATCGAACTATCATTTAACTAACTAATCTCAATCGGATATGATATATTTTCTAATGATTTAAATTAACGTTATAATCCTTTAACTAACCGATTAAGGTTAATTTCATCATAAATCTCAAGGGGAAAATGGATATTTTTTAAAATATAAAAACTGGATTTTATACCTAACCTCGCGGGATAAATATCTTTTTTACCCTTTTAAGAATTATTTTTAATGTCAAATCTATTATTATTTGTATAAATTTAAATGGATTTTAATGAGTTTAAATAATATTTTTATATGTCAAATTAAATTAGATAAATATAACTTTCATTAATATGTGGTTTAATTTTGGATTAAATTGAATATCAAGAATGACAGCTTTTAAAAGAATCTTATTCCTTTTATAGGAAAAAGGGAAATTAATTTACAAGGAAAGTATTTTGAGGCTATTTATCCTAATAGTGATAGGATACTATATGTGTGTGTGTGTGTTTTGGTTGTGAGTGCAAGTGGGAATCCGAAAGAGAGTGATTGGTCCTTATTGATCAAAGATGAAATGTGAAAGGATCAAAATAAAAATAGTAATAAATTATTTAGAAAAAAGAAAGTTTAATAAAGCTTATGTTGGGTGGACAGAACCTAATGCTCATCTTTCCATAATGTCTGGTCTCCCTTTATATGACATTTTTTATTCACAAAAGTATTGCTGATGGCTAATGCCTAATGCCTACCCCCTCGTATAAACAGCTTTCCTACATTTTCATTTAAGAATTAGTTTAACCAACTTATCAAGCGATGTTAGTGATAAAATAGAACGTTATTCTCTTTAAAAATCTCAAAGAATAATATCATCTTTTACCGTTGAAACCACTTGGTATTCAATTAACTTAAAATCTTCTCTAAAATAGGGATTTTGATGTCAATTAGCAAACCCATTAATCACACCCTTAACGTCTTAATAAACTTAATCACAAAAGAGGGAATAATAAATTCCATAAAATAGGGATTTCTAAATATCTATATTTGCTGCAACTAAAAAAGAAAATGAACAAATACATATTCGTTATTACCAACTGTTGCTCGTAATGTTCTTTAAACCGTTGCAAGACTCTTTGTAACATGCTGCGACAGATTTGACTAAACAAAATCATTACAGCAAATATCCATTGCCTTTTTTTTATTTCATTATTTTTACACCCGCACAAAGGGAATTCGATGTGTGATTAAAGAATGTATAAATATAATTAGTATACATATAGGTTAAGGAAGAATCACAAGTCATAAACCATGATCAAATAATGTATAATTAATTAGGACAACGAATGCAAATAAGACACCCGAACGACCGCAAAGTTACTGAAAATAAAAAAGTTGGGTTTGGACTTTAGACATAGAAATTAATAAAATAATATTAAATCTTAATTAATCTGCATTTTGGAGGAATAATAATTAATTATAATAGGAATAGTAAATTCAGTACGTACTCCCAATTATTTTTATTTACAAACGTATAAAGCTGTGATTCCCCGCGTCATCATGATTTTTATATTTTGTTCAGTCAACTTGGAATTTGTTCATCCAGTTGGTACTAGTTGGCATCTGCTAATTTAATTTATGTTTTATTTTTAGGATAATTATTGGGTATATATCAGGTAAATAGTCCTCTTCTTTAATATATTTTATTTTTTCTATAAATTAGATAAAACTTTATGATTATCTACTGTCAATCATTATATCAGTTTAGAATCAAACTATTCTAATCTTCTGATTAAATGGAATCCTTTTACCGATTGAGTTTGATCGAATTGTTTTGTTCATCGAAAATTTAATTTTTATGACGGCTGCTAATTTTAAAAATTAAGGTTTATTGGAAGAAGACTTTAATATATCACGTCAGTATTTCTTAGCCGCAACCAACGTTATTGATTGTAATAAAATCGAATTAAAAGTTTAATGTATGCAATGCACATTTCAAAATTTTAGTAACTGAAATGAAAGCGTGTTCAATGTCCAGTGACTGTCATTGTAATGTACCCTTCATTTTATTATGAATTTCCTTTAATTGAGATTAATAACATAAAACAAACTTCAATGTCTAAGACAAATGTAACCAATAGTTCATTTTTAATTCCTATCGTAAATTTAATATATATTTTTTACCCAAAGAAAAAGAGGATGATTTGACTTAAATTTTAAAAAGAAAACGAAGGAGTTGTCTTCTGTGGTGATTAGACTCGGGCCGCTATAATCCGATCCGATGTCCGAACTACTTTGAGGAGACGTTAATAATTTAGATCTTTGGTTTAACAAAACTTGTCGGGTCGATCATGCTTAGACAACGTATTTTTTTTTATAACATTTAATCATCACTTAGTTCAATCATAAGTGATCACATAACGATATTTGTTTAATATTTTTAATCATTAATAATACAAACATAATTATTATATAGCATAACACTACTTTTAACACACTCTATATCCTTTATTTATGGAAAAAATGAAAAACAGTGGAGGAGGGGTGTGTTGATGGTGGGGTCCATTGGACATGATTCCAAAGCCTCCTACAAATACCCCCACCATTGCATTTCTCCATCATCAAACATCAATACTCAAATCGTCTTCGTCTTCGTCTTCTTCTTCTTCTTCATATTCAACTTCACTCACTAATTTACATCCACAGGTCTCTTTTGCAGACCTCTGTTGGATGCTACCTCTTTGCTCTTATAAAATAAAAGGTAAATAATCTCTAATTTATTTTCCCCTTATCTCTCTGTATAAGCAACATGCATGTATGTTTCTTAGTAACTTGTTATTTGTTGTTTACCTATACCTATTTCCTAAGCTGTTTTGTTTCGTCTCTTTCAACAGATAAATTTCTGTAATTACTTGGACTGGAGAGATGATGTCTGCTCCACTTTGCAAGAGCTTTCTATTATCTTCAGCTTTAAGCATCACTGAAGAGGCCGTGGATGCCAAGAAGCAGGGCATAGTATCCATTCTCGGATCGGATTCCGACAGGCCGACAACAGCTACTTCGCTTAGAAGGACGTTGTCGGCCGATATGTCGTCCCAGACATGGCTGACTCAACAAGGAACGATGTCTGCCCTGAAGAAGAGTCCATCATCCCAGGAATTCCCTGTTTCTTCATCGTTCCTGGAAGGGGAAGACGATGTCGAATCCCCGAGTCAATTCGACACCTGGGCTTTGATTGAACAGAAGAAGACGAAGGAAGTTGAAAATCAAGGCCGGTTTAATATATGGAGCTCAATTGTATCACAAAAGGCCGAGGAAGAGTCTGTGAAGTCCTCCCCACCTTATATTCACCCTCTTGTGAAGCGATCAGCTAGCTGTTTGAGCGAGAAAAGCCTCGAGATTTGTACCGAGAGCCTTGGTTCCGAGACCGGCTCCGATGGATTCTCGTCAGAAACTGGCGAGATGGAGGAAGATAAACAAGAGGATCAACAACTGCTACACCAAAAGAATGAAACAGTGACACCGCCGATTATGCCTTGTCTAGATGGTGAAAAGCCTAGAATTGTGAAATACGACTATGATGTTGGCAAGAAATCGCCGAACACATCATTTCCGCCGCCGATTCCTTCCCTTTCGGCGAAAGATGGAGGAGCATTGAGGCGCTTGAAGACTTATCGTGATAATGGTAGATTGATCATTGAAGCTGTTCCAATGCCTTCATTGAAAAACTTCCTTGCTCAACGCCATGATGGTCGCCTTGTCCTTACTTTTGCCAATACTAGTGCAATCAATGATACAGAAGAAGAAATGGAAATGGAAGAATTAGGAGAAGAGTTCGAAAGCTTTGGAGAAGAAGAAACTGAAGCAGACATTGATGATGAAGAAGAAGAAGAAGAAAAAGGTGGAGATAAGCGTTGTGAGATTGAGCAGGCTCCTAAACTGTCAAGTGGAGCAATCAACGTGCACAGATTAGCTGTTATGATGAACAAGCCGATATGGTTAGCAAACAGGAACCCAACATGGCTTAAACTAACAACCCCACCACCACCAGTAGCACAGTCATTGCCACCACGTCCAAGGGTCACTAGGATGATACCACCGCCAGCATCGAAGGCTGTAGCCGAAGCAGGCACAGCTACATCACTCAATGCTTATGAGTACTACTGGAGGAGGTCCGATCAGAGCATGTCAATGAACAAGAAGCAGCTGATTCCCTCAACAGGCAATAAAGATGAACAAGGGAAGATTAAAGGTAATTGCTTTGTTCCATTGTTAAAAGGCTGCAAAGAACCAAGGAGGACCCTTCTCTTCTGGGAGCCCCATTGCATTGCCACTTCCTGATGATAAAAAAATGTCCATCAAACTCCAAATTCTGCCTATAATTATTGTTGTTATTATTATTATTATTATTACCTTTTTTTTTTTTTTTGCTCTCCTAGCTAGTTTTTTTCCACATCCACTCTTTGAAGAGGGTGATTGTGTAGTCAAAAATCTAATAAAAAGTATCTGAGGGAGAGAAATTAATACTTTTTGGGAACTTTTAAAAGACTGGGATTTGGGAAATATATAGAAATACAATGCAATTTTGTATTTTGAGTCTCTTTCCCTATTTGTAGTCAAAAGAAATTCCTTATAATTAAAGACGTCACCTTTGGAACTATTTAGGGACGGCGACCGGATGAGACCAAACCGCCGCCTCAATTATAATTTTAAGAATTTTAATTCAATCATGATTTTAATATTCATATGATCTCAACTCCACCTAATAAAACTATAATCTAATTCTGAGTTGACACTAAAATTGTAATAAAACATTTGACTAAACCTAATCTGATCTAAAAAAAATAGTAAAAATATATAATATAATTATAATTATAAAATAAAAAAAATTAGTAAATATAATGTTCCATCAAAATCCAATTGTATTTTTTTATAAAAAAAACTCACCTTAATTATTTAATTTTAAAAAATAAGTATGAATTAAGTAATCTCAGTAGTAAAAAAATAGGGTAAACTACGCCAATGGTCACTGATATTTGGGTAAGTTTTCGTTTTCACCACTAATGTTTCAAAAATTACAAATCGGTCACTAACGTTATCGTTTGTGACAAAATGGTCACTGGCCGTTAGCAGCCGTTAAGAGGCATAACGAAAAATACAACTGGACTGTTATCTGTTGAGTTAGATCGTTGACCGCCACTTTGACTGACTCTTCTTCTTCTTCAACCCATTCCCCATCTTCTTTTTCTTCACTTTTCTTATTCTTTCTTTCTCTTCACTTTTCTTCACTTTTATTCTTTTCCTCTTCTCACACACGTTGCTACCAAGAGTGATAAAACCCTTCTGCATTCTTTAACATCTCATGAGTGATAAAACCCTTCTGTATCATACTCTGCTGCTGTATCTGTTAACATAATTTAGAGAGCAAGTCACTAATTTATGTTAAAGCTTTTGATCCCACCCCACTTTTGTGTTGCTCTTCTTGAATCCTATTCCTTTAGACGGTGTTTAGTGGTCTCACGTATGCTTATCTGGTGGAATAGTGGTTTGCAATTTTACTTGGGTTGCTTAAGACAATTCTGTGTTCTATTTTCTAGCATGATTCTAATCCACAGCAGCCAAAGTCTGAGCAGCTTGACAAGTTAAAACTATTCAAGACCATGTTGGAGCGCATTTTAGCTTTCTTATCTATTCCCAAAGCGAATATAACACCCCCTTTCAAGGAGAAGTTGAGTTCATATGAGAAGCAGATAATAAATTTTGTGAATTCCAATAGGCCAAGGAAGCCTACCTCTATGCTGCTGCAAGGACAGTTTCCTCCACCTCATATGCATTCCATGCAACAAGCACAAACACAAATTAATCAGACACAGTCTGATACAAGATATCCGATACAAGATATTAACCAAAAACCCACCGACCCTAACTTACACCAATAACCAACCCTTGTAACTGAAAGAAAATTGAAACAAAATAAGACCAAACCTGCCAACCATTTACTATTACTTCAGAAGCCTGGATCGAACTGCCTCTGTGTAGAACACAGGTAAGGGTGCACAAAGCGTTGCAGAATTTAGAAGTGCTATCACTACACTTAAGATGGAAGTTTTATACAAGAAGCTCAAGTGCCCATTTAGCCTTCGGTTAGAATGAGACAGAAATGTAATGAGACCCAAATAGTTAGGAACATCTACTGCCCTGTTCAAACCACAACTTTGGAGAACCCCTCATATCGCTTCCAGAAAACTATAACTGCCCACACATTTACATGCAGACAATGAACTCCTTTACACAAATTCCATAACCAAATAAATTACCAATATGACACCACCCGAGAATGCCCTGGAATTGTTTCTGTATATGTTTCACTCTCTTTTTTGTTGTGTTTCCTAGTGGTTTTTGCTCTAATTGGAACTTATATATTTGATTATGGTCTATCATTTTTCCTAACAATAAAGGTTATATACCTCTGATTTTTGTATATTTATTTATGAAATGCTTCGAAAAGGTGACCCGTGGTTGTGCAGCTGGAGTTGCTGCTGCTTTTAGAGCTCCAGTTGGAGGTGTATTATTTGCATTGGAGGAGGTTACATCTTGGTAAAGAATTTATGTTCTTAACTACTATTTAAAATATATGCATAAGCATGTTTAGGTTAGGACTAACTGTTCTAATTAATTTTCTTTTATTTCCATTTGTATCTTCAGTTAAACAATTATATTTTCCTTGCCATTCATGCGTAAGTATAGATATAGATATGTATGGTTATATGTTTTGTGCTTATGCATATATCTGTATTCAACTCTAACCTTCATAGTATCGGATCTTTTCCTTTGAAGGTGGAGGAGTCAACTAATGTGGCGTGTCTTTTTCACTTCTGCGATTGTGGCTGTTGTGGTGCGTGGTACTATGGGATGGTGCAAAAGTGGAAACTGTGGTCATTTTGGTTCTGGTGGCTTCATCATATGGGATATATCTGAGTTAGTATCTTCCTCAAGCTCTTGTACATTAACTCCACAGACATTTTGCTTAGCTTTAAGCTTACCACTTCAAAACATTTTATTCTCTTTCTTTCATCCTGTATAGTGCTCAAGAGGACTATTCTTTCGAGGAATTATTGCCAATGGCACTTATTGGGGACATTGGAGGTCTTCTAGGTTGATCTTTTGAATTGGGTTTCCCATCTATTCTTATTATCTTAATCTTAGTTTCTTATTTCTTTAAGTATCTTTTTATTAATATTTATCTTTCTATTGAGCCCAGGAGCTTTGTTTAACCAACTTACTATATATGTAACTTTCTGGAGACGTAATTATTTGCACGAGAAAGGGAATCGAGTTAAGGTGAGGAATTCCTGTAACTGTAGAAACTGCTTGGGGTTCTCAATTAGCATATCTAATGTCTTCAACTACAACATCCCAACTACTGGTGTCCAAAAAAATTATTGCAGATATATGAAGCATACCTCATCTCTGTTTTAATGTCAGTTATATCTTTTGGACTACCACTACTAAGAAACTGCAGTTCGTGCCCAGACTCTGATCCTGGCTCTGAAATTGAATGTCCAAGGGCTCCCGGAGTGGATGTGAATTATGTGAATGTAAGACTATGTTACAGAAGGTTTTATCACTCTTGAGATGTTAAAGAATGCAGAAGGGTTTTATAACTCTTGGTAGCAACGTGTATTATAAGAGGAAAAGGAGAAAAGTGAAAGAAAGAAAGAAAAAGAAAAGTGAAGAAAAAGAAGATGGGGAATGGGTTCAAGAATAAGAAGAAGAGCCAGTTAAAATGGCGGTCAACGATCCAACTCAGCAGATAACGGTCCAGTTGTATTTTTCATCACGCCTCTTAACGACGGTTAACTGTCAGTGACCATTTTGTCACAAACGATAACGTTACTGACCTATTTGTAACTTTTAAAACATTAGTGGTGAAAACGAAAACTTACCCAAATATCAGTTACCATTGGCGTAGTTTACCCAAAAAAATATTATTGTTCCTTGAGGTCATGAGTTTGAGCACGATGAATGTCAGGGTGTGAGTGTTCAATACCGGGTGATTAAGAGTTATCTTTAAATAGATATTGTAATATACTTACCCCAGATTAATAAAAAAATCAAACTTTAAATTTTAATTTAAAAATAAATTTTAGTATTTACGAATGAAATAAAATTAGAATAATCGTTCTTATAATAAACATCAACAAAATCTAATTTAAACTAAACTATCGATAGATTAAATACTGATTATACTAAAATTACTATCTAAAATGAAAAAGGAATACCAACCCCGAAGGTGTCCAGTCAGTTTTTATTTGTGTTTAGAAAATAATGAGCTTTTTTAATTGGGTTTGCAAAATTATTAGCCAGTGGGGTATCAGCATGAGTCCTGGTTGGCTTAACTGTTTTTAATTTTGGGGACAAGATTCCTTTTATGTCTAGATTCAGGATGTGAATGGCTGTCCCTTTTTTCCCATATGTATGGGGTAAGGGGGAGGTAAGATAGTAGGCTGCCCCCAACACCAGGTTGAGAGCAGCTTCCGTAGGAGACCTCCAAATTATGAAATGCAATGTGATTGATATTTCTACTTTTTTTAATAAAAAATCCTTTTAGAATAGAGGTAATATTTATAGATTAGTTAAATGATTTTTTTATTCTAGAAGTTGTACATCATTATTGTTTTAATATTTAAAAAAGTAATTTAATTTCATCTCCGATTATTTATTGTGATATATTATATTTTAATTTATTTTTTATTATAGAATAATTTAATCACCTTAAGAATGTGACATATGATATAATATATGTTATACTAAAAACTTTAAACAAAATTATAAAAAAATACTTTTAAAAATATATTTGGAAACTTTTTATGATATTTTAAAATTTTAAAAATATATTATATTTTTCAAATTTAAATATATTTTCTTAAAATCTTCTAACAACAACAACAACAAAACCCAATTCCCATATGCAATGGGGTAAGGGGGAGGTAGGGTAGTAGGCTGCCCCCAACGCCAGGTTGAGAGTAGCTTCCGTGGAAGACCTTCGGCAGTCAGAAAATTAAAAATATAGATAAAATGCAAAGCATGTATAAATAAATACATAAATACATAGTTGAACAATATTCATATGCAGTCATAAATATCATTAATATTATATGCGCGTTTGAAATGGGAAGTAATCCCTGCAAATAAATCTCTGCTAAAAACTCTTTGCATATAGACAGAAACGTAAGACCCGACTAAATTTAAAAGTGAAGAGAATATTACACAGAAGTCCACGATAGCAAGCCCAGTTCTAAGCCTTCATAAATACCAATAACAGAAACGTATAAAAAGTAGAATTCATGGAAATTACTACAAAGGCATTAAAAGAAGACAGAGATGATACACCCTAGAGATGTGACCCACTTCCGCTTTGGTCGTCCTCTCCTTCTGGCACCGTCGACTCTACCCTCCTGACCGCATCCGACTGTAGTCGCCTAAGGACATGCCCAAACCACCGTAGTCTCCCCTCCCTCAATTTTTCAGAAACAGGCACCACCCCCAAGGACATCCTAATAGTAGAGTTTGTTGTCATATCCCACAGAGTCCTACCGCATGTCCATCGAAGCATTCTCCTTTCTGCAGCCTCTATCCTCCTTACATGATCCTTCTTGGTTGCCCAACATTCTGATCCATACAACAACGCTGGTTTTATTGCCATTCTATAAAATTTTCCCTTAAGTTTTAGAGGCACCTTCTTGTCACACAAAACTCCAGTAGCAGCCCTCCACTTTAGCCATCTCGCCTTTATACGGTGTGTTACATCATCATCTACACCCCCATATTTATGTATCATAGACCCTAGGTACTTGAAACAATCCTTTGAGGGGAGAACGTGTCCTTCTATGCATATTTCTACATCTTCATCGTTTTGGTCCCCACTGAAGTTTGAACATAAATACTCTGTCTTTTCAATATTGATCCTTAGACCTTTTTATTCCAAAACAGTCTTCCAGGTAGTCAGTCTATTATTCAACTCAGATTTTGTTTCAGCAACTAGGACAATGTCGTCAGCGAAAAGCATACACCATGGTACACCGTCTGGTGTCGCACAATAGATGTCGTCCATAATCAAGGCGAAGATGTAAGGACTAAGAGCCGACCCCTGGTGGAGTCCCATTTCCACCGGGAATGCCTCGGTGTCGCCAACTGTAGTCCTGACGTGTGTAGTAGATCTACAATACATATCACGAATCGCCCGGATATAAGCAGTTGGGATCCGTCTCGTTTCCAAAGTCTTCCAAATCGTATCTCGGGGAACGATATCATAAGCATTCTCAAGGTCAATGAACGCCATGTGAAGATCTCTAGACTTTTCCCTATATTTCTCCATGAGTCGTCGAAGTAGATGAATCGCCTCTGTGGTAGACCTGCCTGGCATAAATCCAAATTGGTTTTTCGAAACACTAGTAACTTGTCTCAACCTAGCCTCTATCACCCTTTCCCATAGCTTCATGGTATGACTGAGTAGTTTAATACCTCTGTAGTTACCACAACGTTGGAGATCTCCTTTATTCTTATAGATTGGTATCACCGTGGACTCTCTCCACTCCTCTGGCATCTTGGCAGTTTCTAAAATAATATTAAAGATGTTGGTCAACCACTTAACTCCCTCTTCTCCTAGGGCCAACCACACAGTGATAGGAATTTGATCAGGACCGACAGCTTTGTCCCTTCCCATCTTTCTAAGAGTCATTTTGACTTCCTCAAACCCAATCTTACTTGTAGGGCAGTCATTGGCCGTAGTATGATGGTCGGCTGACCCATCAACGGTATCATCTCTACAGGGAGAGGCACTCTCATTAAATAAGCCAAAGAAGTAACTACCCAAACCCTCTTAATATCATGATCTTTCGCTAGCAGAACACCATTGTTGTCCTTAATAAACCTAATGCTACCTAGATCTTTTTTCCTATTCTCCCTAGATTTTGCAAGCCTAAAGATGCCGTTTTGTCCTTCCTTGGTGTCTAATCTCTTGTACATTTCCTCGTATGCCTTATCCTTTGCTTTAGCCACCGTTTTCTTGGCTTCCCGCTTTGCCTCCTTGTATCTTTGTTTAGCTCTCGACCTTTCTTTGTCATCATTGCATTGTAGAAACTCCTTGAAGCAAGTTTGCTTTGTCTTCACCTTAGTTTGGACTTCGTCGTTCCACCACCATGATTCTTTATGTTCATTGGCCTTCCCCGTAGACAACCCCAGGGTGTTTTTGCCCATCTCTCTGATGGAATTTGCCATATTTTTCCATAACAAATCTGCATTATTTGAGATTGTAGTTCCAAAACCTGTATTAGACAAAACCTTACTCTTAAAGTCATCAGCTGTCGCTCCATGTAACTTCTTCCAAAGGATCCTAGGTTTACCCAATTTAGCTTTCCTATGAGTGCTCCGCTCGTGCGGTACGCGGAACACCAAAACCAACAATTTGTGTAGTGATGCACATGCCTCTTCAGGGTACACCTTACAGTCAATGCAGGCCCATCGATCCCGATTTCGAGCCAGGATGTAGTCGATTTGGGTACAATGTCCCCCGCTATGAAACGTAATCAAGTTCGCATCTCTCTTATTAAATAAGGAGTTAGTGACCACTAAATTGTGTGCAGTAGCAAATTCAAGCAACGTACGTCCCTCATCGTTCCTGCTACCATAACCGAAACCCCCATGAACACCGTCAAACCCGTCGGTTACACTACCTATATGGCCATTGAAGTCTCCCCCTATGAAAACTCTTTGGTCCTCCGGAATGTTCCTAAGTACATCATCTAACTGATCCCAGAAGCAATGTTTCTCCCCCTCCCCTAGGCCAACGTGTGGGGTGTACACTGAAAGGACTTTCACCACATCCTCTTCTATAATAACCTTAATCATCATGATCCTATCCCGGTATCTACAAACCTCAACTACATTTTCCTTGAGCCTAGAGGATACCAAGATACCCACCCCATTTCTAGCTTTATCTATGCCTGAATACCACAACTTGTACCCATTACACTCTCTAGCGCGAGCCCCTTTCCACCTAATCTCCTGAATACATGCAAAATCTAATTTCCTATTATTAAGTACGTCGGTCAGCTCCAGTAGCCTAGCATTTAATGTGCCTACATTCAACGAGCAAACTCTAAGTCTAGTCTCCTTGTCACCACTATATTGAGCCCTCCCCCTATACGTCTCATGAGCTCTAAAAGAATGACATGACCTCAAGTAATCATCTATAGTCGAAACTATGATAAACTATGGAAAATGAATCCAAAGAAGACAGAAGATGCACTAGAAAACGCTAGAGAATTGAAGGGTACTAAAAAGCCTAGTTGGAAGCTATATCAGCCGTTTGATCTATAACTTTATTCCTACAGATATAGTACGGCCTAGCAATAAAACATAATAAAATTTCAAAATATTATGATTTTTTAAAATAAATAAA